GAGGGCCCCCCTAGAGTAAGGGCCCCGATACGAAGTTGTCTGGATTGAATGAGTGAACGCTGTGCCTCCTTTCGGTGTTGTGCTGAGTCCTTCTCAACGCCCCGTGCAGGAGTTGCAGGGTAGGGCACATTAAGTGGGGACTTGCATTGCCGGAGGAGGTTGGCAGTTCTGATTTCTCCATCAAAGAGGACTCCTGCCCCCTCCGCTCCCTGTGGACACCCTCATTCCTCTCCTCTCCTTCCCATTTAGGCTGAGTTTGACAAAGCTGCCGAAGATGTTAAACACCTCAAGACCAAGCCAGCCGACGATGAGATGTTGTTCATCTACAGTCGCTACAAGCAAGCTACTGTGGGCGACATAAACACAGGTATGCTGCAGTTAGGTGGGGGGGCCTCTACTCATCAAAGCAGACTCTTGCCAAACGGCTCAGCAGCCTTGAGAGGGTGCTGGAACGCTTCATCTGTGGGAACCTCAGTCCCAAAACCACCCGAAGCCCTACTCTTCGGACAGGGTGTGGTGGCTGTCTGTGGGGTTCCTAGGGTTTAACCTGGGAGAGGTGTATGAAGACCATGTTGCCAGACAGGGCTCACAGACCCTGCACTGTTCTCAGCTTCTCGGTGCTCAGGTGGCAGATTTCAAATCCTGGTTTTGGAAGGACTTAACTGGTTATCAGGAATTTGTGGGGGAGGAAGGAAAGGCCCCGGCTTTGGAGAGATTGCTTCTGTCTCCTAGCTCCGTAGTAGGCTTGTTGAACAGACTGCTTCTGCCCCTGCATGGCTGGATAAACATCAGAGCGCTTGGCAGCCATCGGCCATGCCTTAGGTCAGGAGCAGAGAAGCAGCTGGCTTTTTGGGGCAGGTTAGAGCATTTTTGCTAACAACAGTCTGTACTTTCCTGAGGATTCGTTGTTCCCTGTCAAAAAATCTTGGTACTGAAAAGGTTTAAACACGGAAGACAACATTCTTTGATGGTTACAAGGGTGGAGAGGGAGGGAGAGGGGAATTCACTAACTAGATAGTAGACAAGTTTTATCTTAGGTGAAGGGAAGGACAACACACATTATAGGGGAAGTCAGCACAACTGGACTAAACCAAAGCTAAGAAGTTTCCTGTACACAACCAAACACTTCGAGGGACAGAGTAGCAGGGGCAGGGGTCTGGGGACCATGATTTCAGGGGACATCTAGGTCAATTGGCATAACAAAGTTTATTAAGAAAATGTTCTGCATCCCACTTTGGTGAGTGGCATCTGGGGTCTTAAAAGCTAGCG